CTTATTTTTTGCTAAAACATGTAAAAAAATGGTAATCAAGTTGTGTCCTCGGTTGGAGGTCTCATATTCTCATATGATGGGTGTGTCGGGGCTGTGTGTCGACCTAAAAAAGTAGCAATTTTTGCGTGTGTGTGCGCGTGCGCGTGCGTGTGCGTGTGCGTGTGCGTGTGTGTGTGTGTGTGTGTGTGTGTTGTAGATAAATTTTTTATAGAAATCACAGCAGTAGTCGGTCACACAGGGCAGTCGATAAAAAAACTTTTGTGCCATCAAGTGCCTATGGACATGATTGCATGAAGTATTTGTTTTGTCGATTTAGTATTTACAATGGAAATTAATTGTTCACCTTCAAATAGCCAGGGGAAACGGGAGTCACAAGTCTTCAACTCCAGCTCATACTATTGCATATACGCCAAGTTATATGAAAAAGAGAGATTCTTCTCTAGGTACCTTTCCTCAAACAGTCAGAAGTTACAATGACTACCAAGGAGCAGCCCCTGGTATGTTTTTATATTTATATTTATACAACTCAACTCAACTCAAATATTTTATTTTAGTCTCATCTATGTGCATCTTTACATATATTTAAGAAATAAAACACAACATTTTTACACAACACAAAGCCACTCCTACATAAGGAGTTATAAGAGACTGTAAAACTATTAAAATAATCTCTAAAATAATCTCTAAAATATCTACTTTTTAAGAATAAAAAGTCAATATTTAGACACAATCTAACATGAATTATATGATCAAAGAGGTCAAGTTTGTGCCTGTCTGTCTATTAATTATATTACTATGACAATAATTGTTGTTTGAGCTAACCCTGTGTATTAATACTTTTTAATTCATAAAATCGTTTAGCTAATACCCTTAAAAGTTAAATATAAAATTCATGATAATAAATTTCCTTTATTACAATACTTTGAAGGAGTCTGTACACCTGGAAATTCCAGGCTGCTTTTTAAATTGGCAAGATCAATATTATACCACATAGGCATTAAATCTATATATATCTATATATAATTTCATTCCTGTTTTCTATATCAATAGCAATATTCCTATTTTAACTTATTAATAAAAAACATCTTGATAAAAGAACTTCAAAACACCATACTCATACTTGTTGTACTTATATACATGTATACATTTTGCTCTGTGAACATTTTATCTAATATAAGATTGAACGCAGAGTAGACCATTATAATTTTGAAGTAAAATATTGCCCTAAACTATATTGATATCAATATTGATAATATAATTATTAACTTACCACGTGACAAACAGAATTTAAATGTCAGAATTTTATATTTGAAAAAAAAGGCTGGTTTTATTTAGCATGATAATACTCGCTTTATTTAACAGAAAAAGTCATTGTTTTATTTTCAGTAATGGCATTTTAAAATCACAGATATATTTAAATTATCCGAACACCGGTCTAACTTCACATTTCATATGACGTCTTTTATATTTACCGACTAATTTGTATTACATATATGAAAACATTTTTTTTTTGATGAAAATTAAATCAATAAATTTATAAGTAATAGCACGAACCTTTGTACATTTTGATTTTTTCAGTGTTTTTCTTCGAAAGTAAACATGTCTCATTTTATTTCTCAAGAAATGTTTTCCATTTAGTCATTTGCCCGTTTACATTTTCATTTCAGATAAGTCTTTGTCCTTTGAAAGACGATTTATATAACAAAGTTGATAGTTAATTTCTTCATTTGTTCATTGTGGTTTTTCATTTCTTTTCAGACTATATTAAAAATGAACCATTACAATTTCAAGGAAATGCCCCCGACTACGGAAATGATATCGAAAACGTAACTGCCTGCAACAGGGACTCGAGGATCTTTCGCATAAAGCGTTCACATAAAGGCAAGTTGCAAAATTGAGTCAGATTTTTTCTCCATATTAAAACTTGTCTTTAACAGTAGAATTTGTATTAGAACTTAAAAAATATTATATTTCAAAATAAAAAGAAATACAAATGTACATTGTATATAAAAAAGCTGTTTAAATGTTACAAAAAAAAACCAAACAAAAAACAAAACAAAAAACAAACAGAGTCAACATTGTAAACATGATTATAATTTAAGATTCTTTCAGGTGATAAGGTTATCTAGTTAGCTTTCTGAACATCGGTTGTAATACTTAGCTGCCCGTGCTGAAATAATGCATGGAGCGTCACATAATTTCCTCCACCAGTAAAGCTGGAAGGTAATCGCTATTGACCCACCGTTAGCGGTAGGTACATTACGGGAACACCAGTGAGGAGAGTTGTCGGTAGAAACCGTCTGGAAAATCGCCGCATGATCTTTTCTGAGTTGGTGCACTAAAGAAAAATAAATATTGGAAAAGCTCATTTAAATTCAGATAGTTGATAGCAGATTATAATGTGTGCTGCCAGACCATACAGCTAATACTATTATAAATAGCAACATTTTGATAAGTTAAGTATTCTGTAACATTAATATGTAAAAGAGAAACAATTAATTATAACTAAATGCCCAAAATGTAACATAGAGGGAACTATTGTAATTTTACTATCGATCACCTCTTTACAACAATCTCGGAAACATGATCTATCAATTGCTTCAACTGTTGTGCACCCATCATATGTTTTTTGTTGTTTTTCTTTTTTTTATTTGTGAGTCAGGATGCGCGTTTGCGTGTCGGTGGCTTTTAGTCACATCAACATTATAATGGTCATGTGACGACTTTCCAGCTTTACTCGTGGGTGGAAGAAGACCCCATGTGCCTTTCTTTGCATCATTTTGGACAGAAGCGGTAACCTGATTATAACTTAAGTCATTCCGTTAGCAAGCTTGAAAAGCTTCTTAACATGAAAGAATCCAAAGTTCCTGGAAAGGGTCGTAATGTATCAAAGTCACTGAAATGAAGAGTAGTGATTAATATTTGTGACAAATTTCATTTGACTTGCTACGTGAAAAAAAACTAAACTCAGTCTAGTCGGACCATGATTTCCAACTTAAGATATGAATAATGAATTTACGTCAACGATAAGATAAGTATGTTATCGTCCAAGAAAAGATTTTAATGTTTTGAATATCGTATCAATAGATCGATATTTGACAATTGTATACATAGATTGATAAGTTTTATATAATACAAGTTTCTATACACTTTGGTCATTTATATAATTGATTCTCCTTCAGGTTCCTCTAAACGAGAACACAGAAGAGACAGTGCAGCCTCATGCGCAGATTCTTCTGGTATGAATTTATATACATATTTCAATTACAGTGGTATGGCTGTCATGCTCAGTAACCACCTTATTTCACATATTCTAGAACTAAAAAATAAACTTCATTGAACACTTAAATTCAAGAACATTTCAAAATTAACAGTCTCTTAACGTCTTAAATATAGAATATTACTACTACAGGTGAAACTTTTTCTCCGTGAACTGTTTTTGGGTAGAACCAGAAAGACATTTTGTCATTTTTGAGACAATGTCCCTTATATTTGTTAACTTGATATGGCGATTTAATTTGGTCTGTTTAAATAAATTTTACTATATTAACATTTTAAGAATGAGAATCAAATAGTAATGCAATCTTGATCATATTTAAAAAGAAAAACATCGCAGGGATATGGAATTCACACCGAATATGCTTAAATTTTGTTTCAAAATGAATTAACCAACAAAACCCACAGATATATGTGATACTGCCCTCACACATACCTTGCGACCTTACTGCGTCCTTACTGCGACCTTGCTACGACCCAGGACGCAGCACAGTCGCCATGGACGTAGCAGGGACGCAGCGAGGTCGTAGCGAGGAACCCAAGGACGCACAAGGTCGCAGACCGTCGGCGACTATTTTGAACATGCACAAAACAGTCGCAGAAACTCTGCGTTCTTGCTGAGTCCTGGTTAGGTCGCCGTGGGATCGCAGTGGAGTCGCCATAGTCGCAGCAGCATCGTAGTAAGGACGCAATAAGAACGCAATAGACGTAGTACACTCGTACTAAGGACGCCGTAGAGTCACCGATGAAATTACAAGAAATTGCTCGGAAACCTTTGGCGACGCTACTGCGTCCTTGCTGCGACTATTGCGTCCTTACCACATCCTTACTACATCCTTGGCGTTCTTGGTGCGACTTCAGTTCTGTTAGAACAGAAAATAAGAAAAATTCTGCGATCTTACTACGTCCTTAGTGCGTCCCTTCTGCGTCCATTGCGACTCTACGGCGATTGTACTGCGACTATGGCGACTTTTGTACGGCTGCACTGCGTTTCTAGTGCGACCCTAGTACGATTACCATTTTCATTAGACTTTTGCTTAAAAATCTAGAACAGCAGTCAGTGCTTCAACATCGGTGTGTGAAAATGGATAATGTAATACTGGCTCAATACATGATTCTTGTTCAGGAGCAACATGATATTGTCCATCAGCTTGTTTTAAGTGTGCTTAGACAAAGGAGAAGGGCCAGGGGAGACGATGTTGGGTGAGGCCATGGCTAGGGGAAGTACGGAGAGAACTGTTCGGCCACTACAGCCGTCTTGTACCTGAGCTTAGGCTGGAAGATCCTGCCTCATTCCACAACTTCTTTCGTCTCCCACCACAAATGTTTGATGAACTGTTGTCTAGACTTCGCCCACATATCACAAAGCAGGATACGTGCTGGAGGAAAGCTATCGATCCGGGGACAAAGCTGGCAGTAACTCTGCGTCATCTGGTTTCTGGCGACCTTTACGCTAGCATGAAGTTTGACTTCCGGCTGCCGGATAACACTATATCTGTCATTGTTAAGGAAGTCTGTCAAGCCATTGTAGACGTGTTTAAGGACGAAGTAATGAAGTGTCCCACCACTCCTGAAGAATGGATAGAAGTGGCACAAGGCTTCGAGCGTCGGTGGAACGTCCCTCATGCATGTGGTGCGCTAGATGGGAAACATGTAGCCATAAAAAGCCGCCTAACAGTGGAGGCCTGTGTCATAACTACAGGGGGTTCTTTTCCATTGTGTTAATGGCGCTAGTAGATGCCGACTACAAATTCTTGTGGATAGATGTTGGAGGAGACGGCTACATGTCTGATGCCATGATCTACAATAACTCAGAACTTCGGGAGTGCCTCTCAAATGGGTCAATAGGTTTCCCCCCACCTGAACCCCTACCACATGATGACCAGGACATGCCATATTTCCTCCTGTGTGACGATACATTTGGTCTTCGGACATACATGATGAAGCCATTTGCAGCGAGGAACCTGACAAAAGAACAGAGAATATACAACTACCGCATTTCCCGTGGACGAAGAGTAGTTGAGAATGCCTTTGGTATTCTATCCCAGCGTTGGCAAGTTTTGTTAGGGACTATGCAGCAGCAACCAGAGACCGCACGACTGATTGTTGAAGCCTGTGTCGGCCTCCACAATCTGATGAGGATGAATTATCCAACCCTGAACATAGCCGCCCTTGACCACGAAGATGCAAATCATGACATTATCCCTGGTTTGTGGCGCAGCGACGCGAGTATGCTGGACGTGGAACGATGTGGAGGAACAAACAAGGACGCCGTTGCAACGTGAATATTTGAAGTTGTACTTCAACTCGGTCGCTTGATCAGTTCCCTGGCAGGACAGGATGATATAATCATATACTTGTGCAGGATAATAGTGAATATGACACAGATTAATGTACATGTCGCTTGTCTTCGGTACTAACGTTTTAAGTATTTGGAATTAAGCAATCGCCAACTTGTTAATTATTGTACATTTAGTAAACCTTAAGCGTAGTTAATAAAGTGAATTAAGTGTGCAGTGTTCCATTTCGCTTATCCATGTCACTGGTGTTCAGATCAAATTAACACTCGGTGCCAATTTTTCAAATTTGACTAGTTCAAATTTGATTTTAGACTAATCTATTGCAATTTTTATGGGATTAAGTATGATTTTGATTAGAAAATAGCCAACAGTGTAGAGCCTGGTCAGACCGCGTGGATGTGCATGCTGGCCTGGCTCGACACTGGTGGCCAAGGTCGATTAAAATCGCCTGTGGCACCCAAAGGGCTAATAAACCAACGTCATTCTACATGTACATGTTATACTATCAAACACATTTTTGTCGTAATATACGTCATATCAGCCGCGACATACAGGCAGGGCCTTTGGATATGAATCTGCGACCAGCATTGAAATTAGGACAATAGCCTCTTCGTTTGTCTCGTCCACCTACCATGGTCATATTGGGTCGAGTTTACAGTACTGCAACCCTTAACAATCTTCTCATAGGTTTTGATTGATTGATTGAGTTGGGTTTTACGCCTTCACCAGCACCATTCTGGGCTATTTGGACGGCGGGCAGTTTTACCTAACGGGCTTTCCTGGGTGGGTAACCAGTATTCAGCACACCGACCTCCGCAAGAAACTGCCAACTTTCTCACATAAAGGACCGTGGTCGTCAGCGGGCTCGAACCTACGACCCTCCAGCGATGAGAGGTTACAGCGGCCTTAACCACTCGACCACGGAAGCGGTCTTCTCATAGGACTACATGTATTATATTTGATGCGCAAAGAATCAGTGACTCTTGTTGGGTTTAACGTCGCACCGACACATGAAAGGTCACATGGCGACTTTCCAGCTTTCATGGTGGAGGAAGAACCCAGGTGCCCCTCCGTGCATTATTTCAGGCACGAGCTGGCACCTGAGTAGAACCACCGACCTTCCGTAAGCTTACTGGATAGCTTCCTCACATGAAAGAATCCGACCCCTTCGGGATTCGAACCTAAAGCGGTGAGGGGCAAGTGGCTGTAAGTCAGTGACGTTAACCACTCGGCCACGGAGGCCCCTAAAGAATCAGTGACACAGTCGTGTTGAAAACTTATAAAACAATGTTAACAATGCTAGACCTGCATCTCGGTAAATTGTTTTAAAATGTATCGAATTTTAAAATAATAGAACATGTCACAGAACAGAAACTTTTAATTGCATTGACATACCTTGTCACTTTATCAAAATATGTGTAATCAGTAATAATATTTATGTAGCACACCAGCCAAACTAACGTTCAAAGGTGCATCATTTAATGAGTGGAAGTGAGAAATGCACATCACAAATTATTGGCTATTCTAATACTAAGTAGTTGAAACTCTATTATAGTTAACCATGTATAGTCATACCTTGACATTAACGGTATTTTAACGTACTAGCGCATTCATGTATCATAACCAAACAAAAAACAAATGTCACCGTTCATAATCCATGTAATGTCACTGAAGTGAGTCCATGTATGAGAACGAATCCCTGATAATCCCACTGACAGCAGTTTCAGTTTCATCCGATGCCGAGGTGGCAGTCGGTACAGCAACTGAGGTGGGTGGATTCTGTGGGGTACTCGGCATGCACGGTTGAATAGTTGTGAGAGTCGGCTCGTGTTGCATTTGAGCCTGTACCCAACTGGTATTCATGGAGTTCCATACGGATGTAGTTTCCACGTTTGTTGGCCAGTTCTGGGGTGGTGGCTGCCACTGTGCACACTGAAAGGACTGCTGGGTATGTTGAGTTTTAATCTTGTCGTTAAGCTCTAAGTACTTATAAAGTAACTGGCTCTGTTCCTGTTGGAACTGTCTCCACAAACTTGGATCCAGGTCAGCCATTACTGCATTAGCCCAATCTCCAAATGTAGCCCGTTCGCTGACAGCCGCAGCCGGTTTGACCATCTGGAGTAGTTTCTCCTGTAGTTGTAAGGACTGGCGGCCCCTCTCGTCCAAGGCGCTTAGCAACTTCTCCTCCTCCGCAGTAGACCGGGACGACGAACTCTTTGGTCTGGCCTTGAGGCCGGCAGACTCACCAGGGTCGTTGAGAGTTGACGTGGACTCTGTCAAAGACCTTCGCTGCGGAAGGTCATCTGTGTCCACAGACTCAATATCGTCGGTATCGTCCGGTGACTGCCCTGCCAGCTTCGTCTTCAACTGCAGTGGGCAAAAAAAACATTTTGGGGATAAGGGTCAACTGGCCATATGAAAAGTTATGTTGGAACTAGTAAAATAGGACATAATACCGATAAACGGAGGAAAAGTGATATCATTAAATTGCAATATTAGATAAGGTCAAACTGCTGTCTGTAGGCATTCCATACATTTTCCATAAGGGAAATAATTCTTAAAATGACTTGAGTTATTTATTTATGTCTGCTGATGGAACTTTTTGTAGAAAAGCTATATTCCAAGTTTCATTGTTGTTGCATATACACTTTTTGGTTAATGGCATTGTAATAAAAGTGGGACGGGACGGACGGGACAAGTTATTGTGTGACGTGACGGACCTAATTCCTATGTAACCCCCTTCTGGGGTATAATAAACATAAAAAATGAAAATTGATCTTACGCTGACTATGGTTCTTGACTGGACTTCATGAATATTTGGTTTCAGGAACTCAAACTTGGTCAGGATCCACTGGTCACGATCCGTTCGGTCATCTGTTCCAGCGCCAGACTTCGGCTTAGTCAGCTTTCCAAACCGTGTACGAATTGACCTGTACCATACAATAAGCATACTGACGTCTTTCCCAAGAACTTGTGCCTGTTCGGCCCAGAGAGCGTCCTTCTTGCCTTTATCCTTGTAGGTGGATAGCTTTTTGTTGTAAATTTGCGGGTTTTCTCTCAACCACTCGACCATGGATTCTTTTTCTTCAGCTGTGAGGTCACTTCTCATCATCAACCTGGACTTATTGGCCTTTGAAGAACTGTAACACTGTTCATCACTGGTAGATTGAGTGTCCGACTCGGAGACTTGGTCTGATAGCGGTGCCGCTGTTTCAACAGACTTTGGACCACTAGAAGACTGTTTGCATGCGTCTCCGCAAGTGGATGAAGCCGCGATTTCTACACACTGTGAACCACTACCAAACTGCATATCTGAAGCGGCGACTGGGTCAACTTGTAGCACTTTAGAGACCCTCGCTCTTTTGCCTCGTCCGCCTCTCATCTTTGGAATAATATGGATGATTTAACTTAATACTAATTAGATATACGTCTTCACTCGTTGAAGGTCAGACTCAGAATGCAATTTACTGGTAAAAAGTATTGTTTTTATAGACGTAGCAAGAACGTAGTAGGGTCGTCGTACAGTCGCAGGACAGTCGCCGGACAAACGCAATAGTCGTCGTAGAGTCGCCGTAAGGACGCAGAGAACATAGCACAGTCGCAGCTGGGTCGCCGATGATTGCCGTGGGGTCGCCTTGGGGACGCAATACGGTCGCAGTGGAAACGCCATGGACGTAGAAGGGTCGTATTGAGGACATAGAGAAAACGTACTGAACACAAGACTGCAGAGCCCCGGACCGTCTGCGAAAGAAATTTGGAAATTTGAAAGAAAACCAACGATTTTCGAAAGAAAAATGCTATTTTACTAGTTTTCAGGTCGCAGTAAGGTCGTGGTTTATGTGTGAGGGCAGTCGTCGAACCCTTGAAATTGCCTTCTTATTTATTATTCATCTGTCAAGTTGTTTAAAAAGACAAAGCTATTGTCTGGTATTTTCAATATAAGATCTTTCATCACATTTCCGACAATGACTGAATACCCAGGCAGACTTGGAGGGTTATTTGAAACAAACATGTATATCTTAAAATATCAAATTTAATGCAAAGAAAAACAAATAAACATGAACACCACCGCCATCACTACAATAACCACAACAAAAACTAACAAACAAAAGCTCATTCACCCTTGCATTTGTTGACTTTCATTAAGTGATAGATTTTTTGTCATATAGTTTTTTATGAAATGTCTTTCCGATATAGAATTTGTAAAAAGTTGCCCCGTGCTTCACTTCAGTGTTGTTATATTTTCTGGTCCTTCGGGATCATTGATGACAACACTAAGTGTTGAGAATTGAGTACCGCTCAAGCAGGTGCTAGGGGGCGTGAGGAATGTTGCACTTATTCATTATCCCTCATGTACAGACTCAATCAAACCGAGTCTGCAATTCTTATGTTATTTTGTTGTGATTAATGCTTCCGAGGGATCACTTTGTTTCCAGAATTTTATAGAATTTCATTTGTATTAGTACTTTTTGTGGCGATTTATGTAACAATCATGAATATGCTCATTATGTTCATTATTGTGTGTTTTACTGAATTTTCAGCTTACGTTCAATTCATACCAGGGGGAGATATACAGCAAAATTGTATATTTTCTAGAAACAGCTCAAGGCGCAGTTCTAGCACAGGTTCATGTATGTGCAGGTTTGAATTAGATTTAACAAAACTTAATTTAATCTGAAATTTGTCATTTTAAGGAAAATACTGCATTTTTCTATTTCCGAATTTTCACCAAAGGGGGAAAAGGTGTATGGAATTATCAACAAGAGGGCCATGATGGCCCTATATCGCTCACCTTGAGAAACAAGCAAAATGTTTATGAAATTCTTTAATGCCATTTGAAAATTAGTGTCAAATGTAAAGAATGTTTGGCCAAAAGCGACATGAAAGCAAACATGCTTTTTAAAAACATTTTTTTTGTTTTTTTTTTCATTGGAAATTCTGAACAAAAACTGATACATCTCAATGTAAATGTATTGAACTTTATT